ATATATTGCTCATGCAAGAGCTTGATCAATGTTCTGATTTTCAGGTGTCATTTTATCTATAGATGAAGGCACTGTATATTTTTGTAAATCAGTGGTTTGTAACACTTCCTTCCTTGAAGATGCTGCTGTTTAAGAAACACTTGATCCAGCTGCAGCAGAAACAGTTTTTCTAGAATGAGAACTCTGGAGGGAAAAGCTACTAGCACTTTCAGTATGGTCCTCATCATTTAATTCCATAAAGTATTTGTTAATGTCTTTTGCATGTCTCTGGCATGCAAAGATGTGCTTTGTCATCCTTGTAGCATTTGGAAAATAATATTTCTTCTCACAATATTTGCAACTAGCAGCTTTGCTCTCAGCAGAAATTGCACTGTGGAAATGTTTCCAAACTCTAGATGTAGGTTTCACCATTTTACTGGGAGAAGGAAAAGGAAAAAAAAACTATTTAGTGGAGAGAATATAGGAAACATTATGGATAATCTGAATCATTTATAGGTTATAAAGATAAACAAATTTGTCAGACCGATTTACCGTCTTAACTGTTAATTAAGGCCTGAGAGGAGGGCAAACACTATTATCCCAACAATTACCCAACTATAAGAGATGTAATATGGAACCAACAAGTAAACTAAATTGGAGCCTTTCCCCTGCATTGATCCCTAGTGGCAGAAATGCATATTTCTCTTGTTTGAGAACTGCATTGAGAGTTAGTGTTACTTGAATTGTATTCCAGGATTGGCTTGTCCTCCGCTGAGAGAACTTGCAATAATTTAAGACTTTGCATAAAGTCTCAGAAATCCTTAAGGTCTTCATGTTATATAGTTTGCATACCATATCACAGATATATTATTTATCATTGTAAAAAAAATATTCTACACTTTGTTTTCAGGTTTTTTCAGGGAAAAAACAGTGGCTTTGAATAAAACAGAAAAACATTGTTTTCGCAGTATTTCCATTTTTTTACTGTAACATACAGTAATTGCTTGACTCCCCTTCCTACTGTGTAATTTACCTATTGATTTTACTTTTTTTGGCTGTTACCCAAGAGGTCTTTAGTAAGTTACATTTCATCCCTGAATGGTAAGCGCAGAATAACAGGCTAATTTTACAGGTCATTACCTCTTGGGAGCCAGACCACATCCATTGTTTGTACTTGGAGCTTTAGGGTAACACATTATTATTATTATTATTATATACAGGATTTATATAGTGCCAACAGTTTGAGGCGCTTTGCAACATAAGGGCAGACAGTACAATTATAATACAATTGAATACAGAAGGGATAAGAGAGGGCCCTGCTTGTTAGAGCTTACTGCTACAGGGCAGCAGGGCTGACAAAATCAAGTATATACAGTGGGGCAAAAAAGTATTTAGTCAGCCACCAATTGTGCAAGTTCTCCCACTTAAAAAGATGAGAGTCCTGTAATTGGCATCATAGGTAGACCTCAACTATGAGAGACAAAATGAGAAAAAAAATCCAGACAATCACATTGGCTGATTTGGAAAGAATTTATTTGCAAATTATGGTGGAAAATAAGTATTTGGTCAGTATCAAAAGTTCATCTCAATACTTTGTTATATATCCTTTGTTGGCAATGACAGAGGTCAAACGTTTCCTGTAAGTCTTCGCAAGGTTGGCACACACTGTTGCTCGTATGTTGGCCCATTCCTCCATGCAGATCTCCTCCAGAGCAGTGATGTTTTGGGGCTGTCGCTGGGCAACACGGACTTTCAATTCCCTCCAAAGGTTTTCTATGGGGTTGAGATCTGGAGACTGGCTAGGCCACTCCAGGACCTTGAAATGCTTCTTACAAAGCCACTCCTTCGTTGCCGGGCGGTATGTTTGGGATCATTGTCATGTTGGAAGACCCAGCCACGTTTCATCTTCAATGCCCTTGCTGATGGAAGGAGGTTTGCACTCAAAATCTCACGATACATGGCTCCTTTCATTCTGTCCTGTACATGGATCAGTCGTCCTGGTCCCTTTGCAGAGAAACAGCCCCAAAGCATGATGTTGCCACCCCCATGCTTCACAGTAGGTATGGTGTTCTTTGGATGGAACTCAGCATTCTCTCTCCTCCAAACACGACAAGTTGTGTTTCTACCAAACAATTCTATTTTGGTTTCATCTGACATTCTCCAAATCCTCTTCTGGATCATCCAAATGCTCTTTAACAAACTTCAGACGGGCCCCGGACATGTACTGGCTTAAGCAGGGGTACACGTCTGGCACTGCAGGATCTGAGTCCCTGGTGGCGTATTGTGTTACTGATGGTAGCCTTTGTTACGTTGGTCCCAGCTCTCTGCAGGTCATTCACTAGGTCCCCCCGTGTGTTCCTGGGATTATTGCTCACCGTTCTTTTGATCATTTGGACCCCACGGGGTGAGATCTTGCGTGGAGCCCCAGATCGAGGGAGATTATCAGTGGTCTTGTATGTCTTCCATTTTCTTATTATTGCTCCCACAGTTGATTTGTTCACATCAAGCTGCTTGCCTATTGCAGATTCAGTCTTCCCAGCCTGGTGCAGGTCTACAATTTTGTTTCTGGTGTCCTTCGTCTTCACCATAGTGGAGTTTGGAGTGTGACTGTTTGAGGTTGTGGACAGGTGTCTTTTATACTGATAACAAGTTCGAACAGGTGCCATTGATACAGGTAATGAGTGCAGGACAGAGGAGCCTCTTAAAGAAGAAGGTACAAGTCTGTGAGAGCCAGAAATCTTGCTTGTTTGTAGGTGACCAAATACTTATTTTCCACCATAATTTGCAAATAAATTCTTTCCAAATCAGCCAATGTGATTGTCTGGATTTTTATTCTCATTTTGTCTCTCATAGTTAAGGTCTATCTATGATGCCAATTACAGGCCTCTCATCTTTTTAAGTGGGAGAACTTGTACAATTGGCTGACTAGGGGGCATGTGCTGCCCAACCCACGCCACCATTAGAGGCTACAGATGTCGATCACCTGGTCCCAGCCAGAAATTCCCTGCCAGCAACCGGCAATTGCTGAGTATCACTAACAAGGGGGAGACCTGTGTGTAAACAACAGTAACATGCTTTTTCGTATTTCCGAGTAAACCACACACAGTAAAACAGCACACGGCTAACCCCTTTGGTCGCCCCAGATGTTAACCCCTTCCTGCCCTGTCATTAGTACAGTGTCAGTGCTTTTTATTAGCATTGATCATTGTATTAGTGTCACTGGGATGTCAGTGGCAGTTAGTTTCCCCCCAGTGTCAGAATGCCACAAGTCGCTGATCACCGCCATTACTAGTATATGAAAAAAAAAATTTCCAGTATATATACTACCATTTGTAGACGTTATAACTTTCACGTAAACCAATTAATTTACATGTATTGGGATTTTTTTTTTTTTTTTTTAGTAAAGACATAACAGAATACATTTTGGCCTAAATTTATGAAGAAATTTAGATAAAATTTTTTTACGGGATATGTTTTATAGCAAAAAATCAAAAATATTTATTTTTTTTCAAAATTGTCTTTTTTTTTTTTTATAGCGCAAAAAATAAAAACTGCACAAGTGATCAAATACCACCAAAACAAAGCTCTATTTGTAGTGAAAAAAAGGCATACATTTCATTTATGTACTGTGTTGTATGACTGTGCAATAGTCAGTTAAATTAACACAGCGCCATATCGCAAAAAGTGGCCTGGTCAGGAAGGGGGTAAATCCTCTGGAGGGCAAGTGGTTAAAGAGACCCTATCACCAGCCTAAAAATTTGCTAATAAAAGCATGAAAAATCAGGTATATTAAATGCTTGTTCACAGTGTGTTTTGTTTTCATAAATTACTTGCAAAATGTGTGTGAACATACTTGAAAATGTGGTTACTCTTGGAGAGTGAGTTGTATGTCATAGCCCTCTCATCATTTGGAGCATCTGATTACTATGTTTGCTGACCCAGCATTTCCATCCCATCCCTTTCCTCACCTTCCATCATAACATTTTATATAGCTGTTGAGGGAGGAGCATTGGGAAAAATACTGTAGCGTGTCACTGGAGTGTGACATCCCCTTCAAGATTGTGGTGTCCAGTAGTGTTCTCAAGGCTTTTGGATATCCACACAAGGGAGAACTTTATAGGTAAAGATTGTTGCTGAATTGAATGATCTGGTGATAGGGTTTCTTTAAGTTTTTTTTTGTTTCTGTCTAAGTTGGGTGCTGTCCACTGAGGACTGGTAAATGTTATCAATATTACATAATTTTGTGTTTTCTTTTGGTTGAATACAGCTTCAGTGGCTTTTTAGCATAGCCTGTGACTTTGCATACTCAATAACCTTGTTTTAAAGACAAAAAAAATCCAAACAAATTTCCATTTACCATATCAATGATTGTTAATGTGGCAGTGCCTTGTAGGACCCCTGCAAAGCACTAAGGAGCAGATTCCCTGCATATATTCCCTCCCACACCACTTAGTTTGGCCTCTGGCAGCCATGAGACATATCTGGTACCTCTTGGTATGGAGAGCATGTCACTCTCTCCAACAATGCACTTTTATTAATATTATAATGCAGGGTTAATATAGCACCAATATTGGCTTCTCCTGCAGCTAGTTTGTACAAGCTCTGCTACCTGGGGGTGGAGATAGTTCTTAGCTCTGTGTAAGCTCACACCAGACTGACTTGGAGCTTACACCGGTTGTCTCATCTTAGCTGTGGAAGTGAAGAAAGTACAAGCAGCACAGGAAGAAGAATGTAAGTATAAGCAGCGAAGGGGGTCGACATGTATGTGAACTTTTTGATGCCTTGCGTGGGCAAGATACAATTTCCCTACAATGACAATGTTTGAAAAGACATAGGTAGGGCACCCTGTTAACAACATCTTATTGGAGAAAAGGTAAGATACTGGATCTTGCATTGTCTAGTGCGTTGGAATCTAAAGTAATATGATTGTGAAAAATTAGGTAATTTTGAGTTCTCATTTCACATATTCCCCTATCCAATGGAGTTTACTTTTGTATTCCATTTGTTTGTTTTTTTTCCAGACATCTGAACAAGAAACGAAAGGCCTACCAAGCAAAAAAGGAATAGTGCAATCAATAGTAGGTCAGGGTTATCATCGTAAGATAATCTTGGCCTCTCAGTCTGTTCAGAATCTCCTTTACAAGTAAGACTTTCTATTATGTGTCGATGTGCCACACATATGCCCAACCTTTTTGTAGTTTGTGAAATAATAACATTGAAAGTGGAAGTTAGCCAAAATGTTTTTGGCTTGTGCACATTTACTGACCAATTACTTTTAAGTAATAGCTTTAAGTGTGCTAATTTATAGGTAGTTTTTAATATTTTTTTTTACTTACAATGTGATTAGAATCAACTAAATATAAATTATTTCACCAAACTCTTTCACAGTTTAAAGCAATGCAAGATATTGTACAACACAGATACATATTATATGTCTTATAAATACTGTATTATAATAATACAGTATTTATATAGCGTAAACAGTTTGCGCAGCGCTTTACAAAATGGAAGGAGACCGTACACTTACAAATACATACCATTCAATATAACAGGAATCGGAAGGATCTGCTTGTTAAAGCTTACAATTTAAAACCGTGTTTCTCAACCTTTTTACCTTTTGAGGAACCCTTGGTAAAAAGGTTGAGATCTTGGGGAACCCCTGAAATATAGTTCAGATCTATAGCTTATGGAACATTGGTGTGATCAGCAAGCTGTTGATATAACAATTATTATTAGCATTAAATAATAGAAGCAATCGTAAAAATGTACCCATTTATTGTATAACTTGTGCTTTCATTTTTCTGCATGGATTCTTAATACTGGGTCAAACTTATGATAAGCGGTGTACGGGTGGGCAGCAGGGCAAAGCACAGGGGGTAACGAGGACACACCACATTTTGGGCAGCAGGGCACATTACATGGGGGGCAGCAAAGCACATTACATAGGAATAGGGCACCAGGGATCATAGCACCTTACATGGGATCAAGACGCATGGGATTAGAGAACCTTACATGGGATCAGGGCATGTTACTTGGGATCATAGCACCTTACATGAGAACATGGCAGGGCAGCAGTCTCCTTCATTTGCAGACCTGAGTCCTCTTCTCCCGTGCTGTTCCCCACCACCCCCTCCAATCCTCCCTTCCTGTCCATCCCAAGTAATGTTACATAGAAGCCCCCCTGGATGGACAGGAGAGGAGGAGGAGCAGTGCTGCACTGCCACACAAGCAGAGCCGCTTGCCTGTGTAGCTGTGCATGTATCGGCAAAGGGGATGCAATCTACCTGTCAGCTGCCCGTGACTGACAGAATGCGGCAGAACCCCTGCGGACTGCTCATGGAACCCTAGGGTTCCACGGAACCGTGATTGAGTAACACTGATCTATGATATTGAATCTTTGCCAATTCCATCAGTTTTAAATAAAAATGGGTGATGTTCAGAAGAAGCTAAATAAAATAAACATACTAAAACCAAAAATGTAATACTTTGCAGCTTTCCAACCATTAGATGTGGTGGCTGCATTAGCTTTTTCCTGTTTTCCCCTGGTTATCTGGCCAATAACACAGCACCTGTATTAGAGTGCCTTCAGTTTGGATGAAGGAGCACATGGGGGCATTTATGGGCAACAGCATTGTCAGTCTAGGGCAGTGATGGCGAACCTTTTTGAGCCCGAGTGCCCAAACTGCAACCCAAAACCAACTTATTTCTTTCAAAGTGCCAACACTGCAATGAAACCTGAATATCGAGCTTTTGGTTTAGAAAAAAAACAACTCATACAGTAGTGCAAACTAATTAACAGTACAGGGATGACCAGAGACTGCGGACAGTACAGGGATGGACCAGAGACTGCGGACACAGTACAGGGATGACCAGAGACTGCAGACACAGTACAACAGGATGACCAGAGACTGCAGACAGGAGATGACACAGTACACAGGGATGACCAGAGACTGCGGACACGATACAGCGGACACAGTACAGGGATGACCAGAGAGACTGCGGACCACGGTACAGGAGATGACCAGAGACTGCGGATGACCAGAGACTGCATACAGGGATGACCAGAGACTGCAGACACGGGGATACAGGGATGACCAGAGACTGCAGACACAGTACAGGGATGACCAGAGACTGCGGACAGTACAGGGGATGACCAGAGACTGCGGACAGTACAGGGATGACCAGAGACTGCGGACAGTACAGGGACAGTACAGGGATGACCAGAGACTGCGGACAGTACAGGAGATGACCAGAGACTGCGGAAAGCACAGGGATGACCAGAGACTGCGGACAGTACAGGAGATGACTGCTGACCTTTGGGGAGGGAGGGGAGCGGGTACCTGAATTTGACAGGTACCCGCTCTTACTTCTGCAGAGTTTTTTTTTTCTCTTACCTGTTCCTTTATCCAGCCGCGCGTGGTCTTCCCGGCTTCTGTAGTGTGGGCGCTCGTCGGACAGCCGGATGCCCAGTGCGCATGCGCGGGAAGCGCTGCGCTTTGTGATTGGTCCGGCGGCTTCTGGGATCTGTCATGTGTCCCAGGTACCGCCTTACCATTCACAAAGAGCACTGCTTCTTGCGCATGCGCACTTGGGACCCGGCTGTCACGCACACTACAGAAGCCGGGAAGACAGCGCGCCGCTGGATAGAGGGACAGGTACGGTCCCACTGCAGAGCTGAGCGGCCGGCCCGGTATTCTGACACGGCGGCGGTGGAAATACCGGACCGGCCGCTCTATATTCGCTCCATAAGACGCACTGACATTTTCCCCCCTTTTTTGGGGGAAAAAAAGTGCGTCTTATGGAGCGAAAAATACGGTATTCTCCTGGCGTGCCCACAGATAAGGCTCGGCGTGCCGGCTGTGGCACGCGTGCGACGGGTTCGCCATCACTGGTCTAGGGGGAGGGAAATTTTAGATGTACTAGCGGATTTAAATACACTAACAAATTGAAGCCAATCAAGATCACACTCCAGATAACATAATTAGTAACAGCAACAGATTTTTTTTTTTCTTTTGGGAAAAGGTTTTTACAATAGCAAAATCTGATTATTGTAAGCACCCCTGCCAGTGTTAAATGGTTTACCTCAACCATGTAAATTGATACATCTGCAAGAAAGCTTGTTCTTTAAAAAGACAACAGACTTACTGGCTGGATCACCAGATGAAAATATAAGAAAGAGAGAAAAAAAAAAAAAAAAAAAAACTAACGCTGCTATCGCGCCTAAGAGTTGGTAAGCTGCAATATAATAAATGTTTGCTTTTGGGTATAACACTGCTTTAACTAACTAAGCCATGTTGTGTCACTTATTGGTAACAGAACAAAAAAAGTGAGGTCTGTAAAGGTAGTAATTTAGGAACACCATTCTTTATTGAAGTGTATGTGAACCCTAACAGTGAATTTCTCCTGTTTGGTCCCTTTTGGTATGACAAATTGAAAGTGTTTGTTCGATAAGTGCAAACAATGTTTTTTGATCCTGCCGAAAAGATCTTACCTGATTTCTTCCTGTACCCTCTGCTGTCTTTTATTAAGCTGGCCATGTACTACTTTATTGTTCAAATTCTTGAAACAGAAAAATTTTGATCCATCTGTGGCCAGGCTGGTTGTACTGCAGTTGAACCACAAATCACTTTCAGTACAACCAGCCTGTGGGGTTTTTCCTCACGTGATCACTGCCGGTGGCTATAGCTGCAAGCAGCGATCATAGTATTCTCCTAGCGGGGAAGCCTTTCTGTGCTCCCCTCCCGCAGAACACAATAGTGCTGTGGGGAGTGCAGGTATACTTTCCTAGGTGTCACTTTCTGTCTTGGGGTGCTGCCCCTCTGTAGAGACTTTAAGTCAAGAGAAAGGGAATAAAGCCTGCAAAAAATTGGAGCTGCAGTTGCTGACCTTTTCCTGCAAACTAATGGCTGTTAAAATGACCCATCGATATCTGTATTAACTAGACTTTCATGTTATTATTGTATTTTTGTTTTCTTCTAGCAAGTAATATGTATTTTGGATTATGTTGTATTTTTGGCAACATCTAATATTTTTATTTAAGCACCTCTTAGTACTTGAAAGAGTTTAGCTTAATTGTACATGGACAGAGTACAGGAATTCATAGACCGAAAGTTACCTCCAGGTGATTGGACATTGGCTTAAAGTGGTAGTAAAGTCCTAGAATAAAATAAAAAAAAAAGAAAAATTGGGCCCTCGGGTTTAACGATTTTTTTATTTTTGTTTTAGCTTATAATTGATCTGTATTCCCAAAGTACTGTCATATTTCTTTAAATTTGAAAAACTATTGTATAACTTTGTGGGGTTTTTTTTTTTTTTTTTTTTTCCTTTATTGTTCATACATTCAGGAAAAAGAAAAATACAGTGCAGGCTAATGTAAGCAATGCATGAATGTAAAAATACACATGAACATAGTACTCTCTGATACATGCGTACAAAATTAAGGCATTTCACCTCGTGGTGACGGTGATTTATTTATTTTATTATTTCAGGTACTTATATAGCGCTGTCAATTTACGCAGCACTTTACGCATATATATTGTACATTCACATCAGTCCCTAACCCTCAAGGGGTGTATAATCTAAGGTCCCTAACTTACATTCATACATACACGTTAGGGCCAATTTAGACAGGATCCAATTAACCTACCAGCATGTCTTTTGGAGTGTGGGAGGAAACCGGAGTACCCGGAGGAAACCCACGCAGGCACAGGGAGAACATGCAAACTCCAGGCAGGTGGTGCCATGGCTGGGATTCGAACCAACGACCCTAGTACTGCCAGGTGGAAGTGCTAACCATTTAGTCACCAATGGATGGGATGAGCAAACGGTTTACTGAACTAATACTTAGAAACACCCCTGGGCAGTTTAAGTCATAATGTGCATTATGACAGACCTACCTTACAAGAAAGCCCTGCGGTCGCTGCTGTCAACACTTTTATTTTCAACTGGTCTTCCTTCCGGGTTCACACTCTCTGGCTGTCTAAATGGCCGAGCTACGATGTCACTGCCACGCATGCACACTGGAGTCGCTGCACAGTTCTCTCAATGGATGGCATATTCCAGTGTGCCGTCCATTCATAGTTCAGTGCACATAAGCTGGTGTCATCATTAGCTGCTACAAATGTGAATATCTCGAAATGGTACACATTTGGGATATATTCACTCTACGTACAGGTAAGCCTTATAGGCAGGTATAGGCTTACCTGTAGGTAGAAGTTATAAGTGGAGTTTACTAAGGCTTTTAGCTTTGCTTTGAACGCCCCCTAGTCACCCTCATGAAACCCTGCTTACTCTGAGGGACTCCATGTTTTGCCAGCGTCCTTCAAAGATGGACATCTTCTGCTAATTAAGTCTTCTAAACCCTTTTTAAATTTTTCTTCACTACTTTAACTGATGCTTCTATCAAGTTATAACCTCTGATTGCCTCAGGTCTCACTAGCCTTTTCTAGATCAGTTACTGTAGATGTACATCTTAGGAACCATACTGTGGGACCCCATAACAGTGTGGCTGATTTGTAATTTTTGTTTGGGGGAGTTGAGGGTGCATTGATTCTTTCCCAACAAAGCTTTAGGCACTATTCAATCACCAGTAGGTAGTGGCATATAACCCATGGTCTCGGACTTTCTGTCCTGTATTTTGTACTGTATTCCAAGATATGGAATTTGCTGGTATATCAAAATTCCCATTATTTTATGCTAAATATGAGCATACATTATCAGCTCCTCTCCCCTGCAGGAGGAAAAAGCATAAACAATAGGTTATCATTGTGTTCTTGCTTCCTTGTGCAGTTGTACTATAACTATATGAGCCAGCCTTTACTGCTCAACTTCAGTGATCTGCAAAGAGATTCAGGAACTGGCTGTACTTTCAAACCAAGTGTCTTTTGGCCCATAATTCTTTTCATGCATATGTATTTCAACAGTATTAGTTAGCCTTTAAAAGGGAAGCCCTATCTTTTTCAGTGATTATTTCTGCTGTAGATACAGCTTTGGAAAATAGTTTTTTTTTTCACGATATAACATGCTTGTCATGTTTTTTTTTTTTTATTGTATATTATACAGACATGTAACCACTGGTGTGTGCGTGCATTTCTTTAATTTTTTTTAAAAGAATGTTTTGCACTTTGTAAACTTTAGGTGATTTGAGTGTGGGGTTTTACATAACAAGTTTCATAAACTATTGACCGTTTTTAATTTTATTTATTTTTTTTTTTGTTTTCTTTAGTGATGGGGAATCATCTGCCATTCCAGTAGCCAGCATGGAGTTTGCTGCAATATGTTTAAGGAATGCCTTGCTCCTTTTGCCCGAGGACCAACAGGACGTTAATAAAGAAAATGGTGCAAAGAATAACAGTCAAACAGGCAACACAGATTCGGGTGGGGAAAACAATGAAGGATGCAGGTAAATAAACCTATTCAGATCTGCAGATATGACCTATGTAAGCAAGCCTGTACTGAGAGATGTGTATAGCCTGCCATTGTTTTTTTCCTGTGGAAAATTGTAGTTGCCTGGCTGTCTCTAGCTTCCATACTTTTCTGTTCTTTGTATTGCACTTTGTGTGACATTCCTGGTCTTCCTGGCAGTCCCTTTTGCTTTCCTATTAAAAGCTTACCACACTAAGCAAGAGAACACATCGTGGTCAGTTCTCCAGCTTTGCTGGGAACTCAGTGTGCTCTCGTCCAATGATCAGGCTTCTCTTGAAACATCCCCCTGCACAGCCTTTCACAGGGAAGATCAGTGTACTGCTGTGTAAGAGCTAGGGGAGGAGAAATGGGGAATGTGATCACTTGTAGAAAAGGGAAAAAGTTATTTAGAATTTTTTTTTTATTTTATATTTATACACAAATGTTTTGCCTTTCATTTCTAAACTGAATGGATTGTTTTACAAGGTGAGGGTTTACAATCACTTTATTCCAAATAGAGGAGGGATTATCCTGGGACTGACCTACCATTTTTTTTGTTTGCCAGTGTACAGTCCTCCTGTAGGTGACACTATAGCAGATAGTATCTGGTTTCCTTTATCCAGTCCTCAAGGACTCCAAGAAAATTATTTTATAGTGAGTCAGAAAATCAATTTTTGCTTTCTTCCCACAGCTTAAATTGGTTCTTCAGCCTTTTTGAAAACAAATAAAAGTCAGCAGCTACAAATACTGTAGTTGCTGACTTTTAATAAAAGGACACTCGCCTGTCCAGGGGTCCAGCACCATGCTCATCCGAACCGCTTCTCGGATTTTCGAGTCACCAGCATGTTTACTGTGGGCAGCCTGCTGTGATTTCTTGCAGCTTCACAGCTGGCTGCCCACTGTGCATGCGAGTGGCACGCTGCAATCTTGAATGGTCCCACAGCCTCAAAACCAGGTACCTGCTCCCCCCCCCCCCCCCCCCCCCAACACACACACAAAAAATAGAAGAGAAGGGGGCAGAAGGACATAAAGCGGAACTTTGTTTTTAGGTTGAAGTTATGCTTTAAAAAGTGCCTTTTAGTAAAGTGAATATTGTATTACTGCACAGCAGAGGTAAACAGTTACTTACCCATCTGAAACTATTAAAAGTTATGATGCTTGGAGTTTAGCTTTGAGGTCCTTTGCGGGAAAGATAACAGAGCTATAATGGCTGACCAATTAATTATAGTATAAATTTCAATACCATCAAGCTGAATGTCATAGTGATGTCACCCACCATGAAACATTTGGCTAAAACATTTTGCTTTACAGACAAATAACAGAAATGTACACTAAACGTTGAAAGATAACATTTAGCTCTATTACGTGTCTCTCATGCACAGCAGACACAATAGAATGCATTAGTGACGGGGTACATTTGAAAAAGGGAACATTAAATCTTTTGTTATTTCTCCATTTGTGATCTGATATTTTTCTCTCTAGCAATAAAAGCCATGAAAGTGATAAATTTGCTCCCGCTCCACCTTCTTCTCCTCTGAAACGACAAGAGCTTGAAAATTTAAGGTAATTTTTTACATTGGTAAATTTGTCTTGCTGTTTTCCAAATTTCATAATAAAAGATTCGCTAAAGTAAGCTAAATGTGGTTTTAAGTAAATCGCAGCCAGTGAGCTTTAAATGTTAGTCTTAGTGTTTAAAGCCAGGTGGGTAAGTGGTGAGATCATCTTTATATCAGGCAGTCTGACTTTTTTCTATCTAACCTGTTTTGAAATGCTGAGCCTGGCTGCTTTGGATTGCATGTCAGATTCTTTTTTTTTTTTTTTTTTTTTTTTTTTGCTTTTTGCTTGTATTGGTCAAATCACTCATTGGGTTAGGTTTACTAAAACAGGTGCATGTTCAGTTAAGCGATGACAATAAAACCTGGAAGCTGATTGTTTTTCTGCAGAATTGCACCAGATTTTGCACTCTCCAGTTTTAGTATATAACCCTTATTGTGTGCTAAGACAGTCTTAGGTTGTAGTCTTCATGGTCACTGAGCTGTACTGACCTCCAATCATCTTGTACCAGCATTGATCTTCAAATCAGTTGTCCCAAAATTTCTGCATTTTTGATTTTTTAATTTGAGGACCTGTGCTGGCATGTGATACGCAATAATATCAGTTTAAAGATAAAAAGTCACTGATGGCTGCCAGTGTTTACAGCTTTTTGAAGGCTTACCTAAACCATCCACTGAAGTTATTTCCAGGCAGGCAGACCCTTCATACTACACAATCTGGGTGTTGTTTTGAAAACAATTTGAGGGAGGTTTACTAAAACTGTTGCACACAGAATCTGGTGCAACTGTGGATAGTAACCAGCTGAAGTTAGAAGCTGATTGGTTACTGTGCACAGCTGCACCAGATTCTGTGTGCACCATTTTTAGTAAATCTCCTCCATTGTGTGTATGAAGCTGACTGTTGTAGCGCACATGTAAAATTATCTTTAGGTAATGGACTACTTGGCTCACGTAGTCAGGTTTTATTGCGAGGGCCATCACTGCTGTTTGACTATTTGAAGGATTTAGGCATTGGACAGTAGTTTTACCTGAAGGTAGGTTTAAGTATGCTAATTCTTTATGCAGGTAAAAAAGCTAAACAGAAATATAAATCTATATGATATGTGCTTGTCTCTTCTATATGATTGGTGATCCCACTAAAAACTTTATGGTATGTGCATGTTTTCACCATGTCTAAATGAATGCTAGTTGTAGGTTTAGCTGTGTATTTCTCAGTCCTCCAACCATGGTGTCTATGCTAGACAGGTCAGGGATGTTGGGGGCCTAGTGTAGGAGCACGAGAATATTCCCACATGGACTGTCTCCGCCTCAGTAGCTGCCAGAGCTTTTTCTTTCCTCTTTGGGCAACGGTTCAATAAGTCTCTGCATCACCTGGCTGCACTTTGAGATTCCATACGTTTTAAAGTGTGAGAACAAGCAAGTCTTGTTTGAATAGGTCATGACCAAGTGATCTGATCATGGCAGCCATGGGGCGAAGTAGGGGGAATACAAGTCTATTTTGTTTGCAAGTGGAAGTTCAGTGTAATCCCTTTCTTGCCTGGGAGGCCTGTAGTGCACTGCAGATTTAAGCAGTAAGCTGTAGGCTCCTGTTGGGGAAATTCCTTTTTCAAGGATATAAATTCCCTTCCATGTTTTTTCTTGTTTTTCTTTTTTTTTTTATATCAATGTGCTGTTTTGTCTGGGATTTGGACAGTTTGAAATACTGTTAATTGTCTGGGGCACCTTGACACATTATTGCATTCTTAAAACATATTAACAAATGTTTTGTGTTCAATACCTTATTCAACTAGATGTGACAGCTACTGCTGTGTTTTTCTAAATAATATTTAATGGAATATTTAATTGTGGGTCTTGTGTATAGAATGGTGTCAGAAGGAAGAGCCATTTTCATTGTCTGTTGAAGCCAAATCAGTATAGCACTTAAACTTACAACTTTTGGTTAGCTGTGTAACTTTGCCCTCTACTCTCTCCTCCAAATTAATACGAGATTATACCAGTGCACAGTAGTTTATTGAAGATCAAACTTCGTTTTTAAAGCAATATTTGCTTGCCAGTCTTTGTAGTTTTACTTAAGTGTCAGATTTTCAGAGCTTGCCAACTTTTTGACTTAGCACAGTTACAGTAAACTTATGCCATGATATCTTTGTTCAAGGGCACAAATCCCAGAAGATTCCTGCTATGTCTGTTGCTAGAAAACTTTTCTTTGTGTGCCTCTCTCAAAGAGAACTTGCATAATTTTGTATGTCGTGTCCAAGACTGAATATTTTCTTTGTCCACCATTGAGTGAAATGGTCAGTCATTCACCTTTTGATGATGGTTGTAGTTCACAGAACTCTGTGAATAATTGATGCGGCTGGGTGGGGGGAGCCCTGCACTGCCGCATTATTTTCAAAGGGTGACAGTGGGTGAAGGGAGAAGATCCTGAAGTGCTGTCACAATGGGGGCTTGGGTGGGAGGGGGATGCGGGGGCTGCTCATTTAGTAACAGGTTACATGTTACACCCTGGATAGAGGTGTAACATGTTATGAAAGTCGAACCTATCCGTTAAGCTTCCCAGTTTCCATTGGTTCCTTTTGGAGAAGGGGTTAACACTGAGGGACTCCGAGCTGACATAATCTGCTGAGTGGAGTGTCACATGCACACTCTGCATTTTTTACTGCCATTCTGTTTTGAAGTAGAGTCTACCCTTTGCTGCCCCTGCTTTGCAAAGAGTCACTTGGAACCGTGATCTCTGAACATTCCTGCTGCTTGTCTACAATGACTCCAGGCACCTCCAGCCACCCAGTCCTTGCTGGCTTCCAGCTATCTGGGTTTTTGTGAGGACTTGCTCCATACCCCTGTCTTTGTTTCCCAAATACCATGCAATTGTAAGATTTCTGTACCTAGGCAAAGAGAGTACAGTCTCCCTTCAAAAGGCGACTCCAGTTCACACCCCCCTAACAGTTCTGTGAATGTTTGTTCTGTGACTTCCAAAGGCATAGATGTCTGCAATCTGGAATCCTTTCTTACCCTATAATTATAGGGTCTACTTCGTTATCTCTGATCCTTCGTAGCTCTACCTTATCCCCTGGGTTTTCTAAAATAGTCATGCAAGACTTTGTGGTCAAATTCACCCAGTTCCTCACTGGTTCTGACTGCAGAGGCTCTAAGCACGCTCACAGAGCCTATTGTTGATCTACCTGTGACCTTAAAGGCAGCCATGTAATTTCTGAATGATTCTGGGTCACCTCAGTTTCTTCCTCTTTGAGGAAGATGCTACCTGTCATGCAGAAGAGTCATACAGAAGAGTCATGCGTTGAAAGATTACCTTCTGCAAGGCACTCCCTTACCTCTCTTCTCATTTTTTAAAAGGTTCTGTCTTTGGAGAATTTTCATCTCCTGATCTACTTTCTAGTGTTATAGGGCATACAGTCCCTCCTATATCATGGGATGGCTTCCTTTATAGTTCTGATACAGATACTCTTGAACAATGCTACAGTGCTGGCTTGTCTGTAATATCAAGGAGAAACAGTAGGATCTCACTGTGACATTAGAGGTAGTTCTAGTTCTGTCCGCTCCGTTCATTTTATGTGCGGTCTTCTGGAGGCCATTTTTTCCCCAGCTGGTTGCTTCTGGACATGGCGAAGTGGTCCATGCACCAAAATGCACCAAAATGTTTTCAAGCTCCTGCCTTACAGGTGGAGAGCATCAGAGGGGCCCCGTGTTACCCTGGGCCATTCCCCAAAGTAGTACAATGTTACTATGGTAACATTATTCTACTTTGGTCATAGTGAAATATGAAAAAAAAAAATCTTAAACAAGAAAAATACTTAATAAAAAAATTAAAACTAATGAAAAATAAAAAAAAAATTATACATTTTTTTTTTTTGGACTGTCACCAATCAGTGTCCCTGATCACCGCCATGCCAGTTATATGATGCTGTACTGCACTGGTGACAGTATGTAAAAAAAAATTACAACTTCAAAAAACTCGCCATGCCTGTTATGAAATACTTCGGACTGTCTACTTTGCAAAAAGTGATCATTTGGGGGATATCTGTACTGTTCTCACATTCTTGGACCTCAAGAAATTAGATTGGCCGTCAGTACTTCAGGATTGATCAATATTCAGATCTATACCATAGTTTGTGAACTCTATAACTTTCCTACAAACTAAATAATACATCCTAGTTTGGGTTATTTTCACCAAAGACATGTAGCAGAATACATATTGGCCTAAATTTATGAAGAACAATTATTTATTTGCAAACTTTTTTGATAACAGAAACAAAGAAACGTGTTTTTTTTTTCAAAATGTTAATGTAGCAAAAAATAAAAACCCAAGTGGTGATTAAATACCACCAAAAGAAAGCTCTAGTTGTGTGACTAAAATGGTAAAATTTTAGTTTGGGTACGTGTTGCATGACCGCGCAATTGTCATTCAAAGTGTGAGAGCGCTGAAACCTGAAAAATGGACTGGGAAGGAAGGGGGTAAAAGTGCCCGGTATGGAAGCGGTTAATAGTGGCACTAAAGGTGGTGGAGCACGTAGAGAATTTGCATGAAGATTTCTGTGAAGCACCAGAAGAATTTGTTTGCACACTATATGGTGTAGGGCTTTTACTAATTTACTATAATATTCATTTATGCTATTGATATACAGCACTTTTTGGTGTATGTGAGCGCCGGACCTTTTTTTTTTTGTATTTTTATCCAATGCACATATTTGCCAGCACACCACAGATCATCAAATGTCATCTGAAAGTTTTGTTGAAGAATGATCACATCACCAAAGAACATAGTGCTGCATTTTGAAGCCGTGCAGGACCCCTTCGTCAAGCATGTGATGACATGCTCGACAAAGGCAAAGAGATCCTGCGTGGCTCTCAAATATTGCAATGTGTCATTTTGTGATGTGATCATTCTTCAGTAAAACTTTCCGACAACCTATGAAAATATCTGCATCAATCCTTCCGTAGGTGACCGAATTATAAGTTGAAAGCTTTTTTTCGTCCCTTAATAGATTCAGAAAAAAGG